CATGACATTTTGGGAACAAAGGTGGCATTTTTTTACAAAACAGAGTAAGAAGAACAAGAAATCATATGAGGAAGAGGAATCTGGGAGATAATGTTCGAATGTGAAGAGGAAGAGAGAAAAGGAAAGAGAGGCAGAGAACAGAAGGGGAGTATGTTCGAATCTGGAATCCATCTTACAAGAGATATACAATGGCGATCTTATCTTGCAACTCATGCCAGGCAGCTACGGCGTTCAAGTCTGTGCACTGAAGCCTTGCGCAGAGGGTGGTGGTGCCGGCAATATGAAGTTATCGGTGCAGGGCACCGCAACAGAGTAGTCGGAAGTCTATTCATGCGCTAAATTCATTAAGGGCAATTTTGTCCGATCGGTAATTAAAAGTCCTATTTAGATAATAAAAAACTTAATGTCCTACTTTGGAGTTTTAACAAAGTTTTAGTCCCATTTGGGAAATTCTCTCTATTTTCATTCGCATTTCTAACTAATTAAGTGTAGTTATGAAATACAAACAATTATTATAGATATAACTTTCTCATGTTATGACTTATATATACCTTTGTGTAGAAAAGAATCATTCTCACATAATTACATTTAGAATAATAATATCAGTATTAATATAATTAAAGCTCACGGTTGCACATTTAGAGCTTCAGAAAATTATTCATATGAATTCATTCAAAATGAGTATAATATTTTCATTTGATTGAGATTTTAGTATAATAAAGTAAAATATTGTGATCCTTATATTTCTATTCAAGGTTATATGACACTTTTTTTCAAACAATCCCAAAAAAACCAGTAAAATGGGAAGGATAGAGTATTTTTTAATAAGTTGGAGTCAAAACGGGGAAGATCAAAATGAATTTTCCCTTATACGGAGTATTATTGTATTATTTTATCACATATGCATAGTTACACTATTGTTTTATAAATGCATATTTAAACTATTGTTTTTAAGTATTAATGATAATAATACTACGGAGTATAATACTTGTACTATAATAGATTACGAAGATTTTCAAAAAAATGATAATAGATAGTACTACTGATTATTACTACGTACTATTTATAATGCCTAGCTTGTTTGTTTTGATTAAAAAATTTATATTTTAACAAGTTTATAATGTTTTATAAAATAGGATAAATCCATTTATACATGTTTTGAATATACTTTTTGTGTACAATCTTATATTTTACACGTGTACACATGTAATTCATCAAAGGACAAATTTTGTCTATATACACAAAACAAGATATAAAAATGTACAAAAAAATATATCAAACAGCTCTCTCTGCAGAATATTATGCATGCAACGTTTCATACGGAGTATATAGAGCTCATTTGGTAGCACTGAAATCGTCTGAATTGGTTACTTTTGCTAAAATTTATGAAGTTCGCGTTAAAGTGGCTATAATGGTTGATTTTTCTGATTTATGAAAAAATTATACTAATAAAACAAAGAATAAGTTATATGAAAAAATAGAAAAAATTGTCAAGTACAATAACTTCAGTCAATATAGCCAGAAGAGTAACATCAATCTTATTTTTTCTTATTATTACATAATTCAGCGTGTGAAATCAAAATTATGTGTTTGGTTAAATTAAAGGCCTTGTCTAACAATTAACGGTTAGTTGTTAGATATTAGCCGGTTACGATAATGGTTTGATAATAGCTGGTTGTATTACTCCCTCCGTCCCTGTTTTTTCTCCCATTTCGGCTGGGCACACTAATTAAGATAGTGGATTTTGTGTGGTGGAGAGTTGTGCAGAGGAGAGAGAAATGTGTAAGAATGTGTAAGAATGATTGTGAACCACAAATTCTTTGCCAAAAAGGGAAGGAGGAGATAATTTTGGGACAGATGAAAAAGGAAAGTTTGAAGATAATTCAGGGACGGAGGGAGTAGCTATTTTGATTGGATGGTTTAATTAGCTTGTTTTCAGCAAGTGTTTCATAAATTAGTCGTTTATTAATAACTGTTTTTGTATCATGTTTATTAATAACTGTTAGAGTGTGAAAAGACGTATAAGGACGATAATATATACGTAGTATAAAATATTTGTAGGTATTTCTTGTAAAACTAATGTTACCTATGAGGATATGATTACTTACCGAGTAAGGATGTTTTTACTTGGACTATTTAAGTCCTAGACCACAACGTATTAGACTAAACCAGACTAGATTTGGATAATTATAAAATATATAGAGATCAGACATTTACCAGATCAAACCAGATCGAGTCAGACCAGACCAGACCAAAAAATTTCAATTCAAGTAAAAACATTCTAAATCACTCATGTTTTATACTCCTTATGTTTTTTTTATCATACACTCCTTATGTTTTAAAAATTGACAACAAAGGTTACACCTCAAATTAAATAAATTAAATGAAAATTTATTTTGATATGAATAAACGAAAGTATAAGGAATTCCCAGAAAATATAATCAAGCAACACACCACAAAGCATAATTTATATACATATTTTTAATAAAGAATTCTTATTTTACAAAAAAAAATCATACGGAGTATTAAGATTTCAACACACTAGAGCAAAAGTAGGATTAAATGATTAATTAAACGGACAAGCCTAGAACTGTACGATGGCCGGATACCAATTACCAACGGTGGCCAGATGCAGAAAACAATTTTGTTCGCCCCTCAAAAGAGGGTGAAGATCACCCCACGGGCCCACCCTTCAATGCTGCCACATGACATGACAATACATTCAAATTTTACAAATGTTATACTCCACCAGTCCTCGAATTATCTTCATTCTTTCCTTTTCGGTCCGTCCCAAATTTATTTCCCTTTTCCTTTTTGGTAAAGAATATGTGGTTCACAACCATTCTTACACATTTCTCTCTCCTCTGCATAACTCTCCACCACACAAATCCCATTATCTTAAAACTTGTGCCCGGTCAAAACCGGAGTTAAATATGGGACGGAGGGAGTAATTTTTTTTTTTTTGGTTTAATGTTTTCAAAAAATATATCAATATTTTTAATTTTTTACGATCTTTAATATGATACTAATATCGCATATGTAAAGTTTAAAATAAATCCGGCTACAAAAAGATTTAAGAAAATAAGAGATTTTTTTTTTCAATTTTTTATATACAATACGGATAACATTGGAAAGATAACCAAAAATTATTAAATATGATATATTTTTTATGAAAATTAAATTATAAATAAAAATGTTATGATTTTAAGGAAAAAATATATTTGTGATGCCAAATGGCAAGTAAAGAGGAGAGATGATGTTCACTCTCAAGGAGGAGGTGAACAAAATTGGACTCGTCCATACAAGCCATTTACCAAACAACAAGTTTAGCTATTTAGGTGATCAAAATCATTAGTTACAGTCCAAGAAAAGAAAAATTGACCGATAAGTCATTTTTTAAGCCAAACCAAAAAAATTGATAGATAATTTTTTTTGATCATAATTGATAGATAAATTTTACGGAGTATAAGTCAAAAAACAAAGACACCAAACGTAGAATTTTGGAAGAGTTGTGTTATAGGTACCCCATTTTTACCTCACATTTTGTGTGATCCAAATGAGCTCACATTTAAATGAATTGCCCCCATTTAAATGTATTGACCCATTTTGGGCCACATAGTAGGAGAGGAAAATGAAAATGGCAAATTATACCGTTCAACCGGCGCACCATGAGGATGGTGCGCCCGGTTGCAAAACGACGCAGCTTGTTTTTTTTTTTTGCTTTTGTTGTTAAAAAATGATAATAACTTTTTTATTTTTGATCCGATTTTTATAAAATTTATATCAACATTTTTTATTTTTCATGATCTTTCAAACGAGACCAATATTGCTTATGTAATTTTAAGAAATTATCGAACTATTATATTAATGAGTATTGGATTATAAGGAAAATCGAATCTGTTTGGGAGATGATAGGTTTGTGAAATAGAAGATCGAATCTGTTTGGGAGTGGATCAGTGGCCTCAGTTACATTTGATAATACATTGAGTTACATCTTTTTATGAGTGAGTTACATCTTTTTATAAGCAAGTTACATTTTTTTATAAGCAAGTTATATCTTTTTATAAGCAAGTTACATCTTTTTAAAAGTGAGTTACATATATATAAACACGAGTTGCATTTGACATGCCTGAACGCGACTTACATATATTTACATCTAAAGTTACATATTTTTACACGTAAAGTTACATATTTATACACACGAGTTGCATTTGACCTGTCTGAACGCGAGTTACATATTTTTTTACGTAAAGTTACATATTGTTACACGTAGAGATACATATTTATACACACGAGTTGCATTTGGCCTGACTGAACGTGAGTTACATATTTTAACACGTAAAGTTACATATTTTACACGCAAATGTTAATATGTTAAAATTACATAGGCAATATTGGTCTCATTTGAAAGATCATGAAAAATAAAAAATGTTAATATAAATTTTATAAAAATCGGATTAAAAATAAAAAAGTTATTAACATTTTTTAAAAACAAAAGGAAAAAAAAAATATAAATCCGTACCGGTATACGGTGCTCACCGTATACCGGTCGTACGGTATAGGCACTATTCGCAGTTGCGGCAATAATTATTACTCACTCCGTCCCGAAAAGGTTGACAAAAGTTCATTTTCTCGTGGATTAATAAAGTAAAAACTGTGTGGTTGAAATTTGTGCAGAGGAGAGAATTAATTTTAGCCAAATATTTCTTACTTTAAATGGAAATGGTAAATCTTTTTAGATATCCAAAAAAGGAAATTTGCTCAACCTTTTCCGGACGGAGTGAGTATCGTTAATCCGTCTACCATTTTTATGGAAGCAGATAAAAATAATTATAGTCTGGGAATTTTGGGAACGTGCGATTCCGACCGGGCTTTGAATTATAGGAGGAAGGGAAAATGGTTAGCAGTTAGTTGAGGCAATAATAAATGCAGTGCTGCAATTGATAAGAAAGGAGGGCAGACTGCCATACGTATGTCCACATAAATTGATATACGTGAACGTTTATTATTGGGGCGTCCAGATCTGGAAAATCGTGCCTGGCGTTCGACAAACGTCCAAACCAATTTAAAGTAATTTTAGCTAACGTCCAAACCTATTTTTGTTTTTCAATTGGTCCAAAAGGTGGAATCTCCACTTCAAGAGCTCAACTCGACCTGACAGGACAGTGGAATTAATCACGTTGACTCAATCAGCAAAGCGGTGGTAGAACTTATACACGTGCGCATCAGAGATCAAAGCTTATTTCAGAAACTGTAACCTCCACACGACCGCTGTGAGTTTCGAACCTTGGTCACTTGATCCAATTTTCTCACTCGACCAAATGAGCTACCCGTGCGGGTAGATTGTATTTTCCCATCTTTAAAACTTTGTCATCTTTCATAGTCTAATTTTTTTAGATTGAATGGAGTTGTGGTTCTTATTAGTTACGGAGTATTACGTATTCCCTCGGTCTCATTGTATTTTGCCAACTTTCCTATCTTTGTTGTCCCAAAAAAAATTATTAATTTTCTATTAAAGCAATCAATTTGTGGTTATGTTTTTTTCTCCCTCCTTTGCACAAACATCCACCACACAGTTTTTACTTTTCTTATTTCTCACCAACTTTTAACTTGACAAAATCCACTGGAACGAAGGTAGTTGTATTTCTTTCTTTTCCACACTAGTCTAAACTACATTGTTTTCACTTTATTATTTCTCATATCGATCAAACCTTACAAAATAAGTGTAAATTATGTGCATTTAGACTTGAAATTTAATCATTCTCAAAACTCTCTTGTGTTTTGTGATTAATAATTCTCAAAACCTCGAAACAAATTTAATATTTTGGAAATCGTTTGCTTTAATACTATGATTGGATATGAGTATTTGTCTAATCTCTAAATTATATTGACTACAAAAATACTAATCATTTTGCTTTTATATAAATTATAAGGGATTTAATTTGCATACTTTATACTCACTCCGTATTTTTGTGTTTTCTACACTTTCTTTTTTAGGATGTCTATAAAAAAATTTTACTTTCATTTTTTGGAAGTTTACCTTTTATAAAATAATCAATTATTCTTACTTTTCATCTTCTCTTTCATATGTTTACAAACGCTCTCCTACTATTTTTGCATTATTCATTAGACATACTACTTTACTCCTTAAATAATGTGACAAACCTAATGCAATGAATATAATGAAGAAATTTGGTGCATTAAACCCAAACGTTGAAATAAACAAAATATATAGAATAAGTTTATGGATTTTTCTCTTACGCTATTACCCACCATTTTACATGTTTTTATTACACTTTCCCAATCCACTCATTGTTTGTGTATGATTCATTTAAAAATCGCATAATATTTAAGGCAATTTTTTTTGTTAGGGCATGCAAAATTGGCATACAAACATCTAAACATTACAAAAATTGGCATATACACATCTATACATGACCAAAAGTAGAACTATAAATTGATTTATTTGGCATTTGACTAAAATACTTCGTCTACCGGTCTACCATTAAACCGTGTCAAATTTTACTTGTAAATAAACAACACTTCAAGAAAATGTCATTGTCCTTTTGTTTTATGTGTAATTGTTAGCCATTTTCAACTAGTTCTATTGATACTCATATTTTCAACTTTTCAACTTTTCAGTCAGCCATTTTTTTTATCAAATACTCATATGTAACTTTTAATTATATTGTGTAACAATCAAAATAAGTAAAATTATACGAAGTAGTTATTTTTCTGACTGAGGTCACTGCAGAAGATAATTTTAGCTATTTCCGTATATAGTACTCCCTCCGTCCCTAAATTATCTTCAAACTTTCCTTTTTCGTCCGTCCCAAAATTATCTCCTCTTCCCCCTTTTAGCAAAAAATTTGTGGTTCACAATCATTCTTACACATTCTTACACATTTCTCTCTCCTCTGCACAACTCTCCACCACACAAATCCCACTATCTTAATAAATGTGTCCAGCCCAAAAGCGAGAAAGATTAGGGACGGAGGGAGTATATTTTTTCTTAATTTTGTCAACAATATATATTTTTTTATTATAATTTTTTCATGATTCAATAGATACTGCGATTTCAAATATAACTTCAATAATTTCAGTAAATTACATCAGTATTATCAAACCTCTGTGTTACAAATTCTAACTCAATTCAAATTTCACAATGTGAAATTGTCCATACCAAGTGAGGTCACAAAGGCGAGCACAACCAGTGGGCGTAGCTCAACTGGTAGCAAGGGAGTGACACAAGGGTTAGGTCCCGGGTTCGAATCCCGGCAACTGCGATGAGAGGTTACTATGTTAAAAATGTATAAAGCCTCTGCAAATACCGGGTACAGAGCCTCACTCTCTATCTGTCAGATTGAGATTATAGTTCAATTTACATCCTTCCAATGTGCCGTCCTAACGGGGTTGGGGGGCACTCAAGGATGGAATGTCATCCTTTTTTTTACAAAGGCGAGCACACTAGTTGTCCCCGGGCACATGCTTACCAGAATGGAACCATGTTTTCAATAAAAGAATAATAAATAAAAGATCAATTATTTACCCCTCAAATTTCAATGGAATTTCCCCTGAAATGTTACTTCTATAAAATTATTGGACAAAAATGACTAAAATTATTGTTAATTATTAGTATGCTTTTACTGTCATTATGATGTAAGAACGGAACTTAATCACATTTTGGGTATATTTAGCAAATGGTTTATCAGCCAACTTTTACCTTGTTTGATCAAATTTAGTTGTTTCATTAGTCAAAACAGCTAATATTTATGTTTGGTAAATAATTTTTTAGATTGACTTGTTGAGTCTGAAAAGCTGAAAAAATGGCTGGTAGGAAAAGCCAAGAGGGGCAGCTTTTTAGTTTGGTTTTTTTCATTCTTTTAGATGAGTTACACTCTATTAGCCATTTTGAAACAACCAATTTTACCAAAAAATTATTTATAATCAGCTAACATAACCAGTCGATCAAAACAGTTAACACAACCAGCGATTAGGAAACAACTGACACAACCAGCTGACAGCAACAACTAACAGCCATTTACCAAACAAGGCCTTTATCTTTTGCCTTCATTTTGGTCATATAGTGTGTATTAATTCAACTTAAATTGATCTCAATATTCACCCCTATCAATATTTATCTCATTTAACTGCTTATATATAACTTCCAAATGTAACAAATGTTGTTTAAGACTTCTACTTGAAAAAGTTAAAACAATTTGATAATAAGTCATAGTCGATGTTTGTAATATACGTAGTATTTGCTACTCTAGAAATGAAACTCAGAGTAGCTGAAGCAAAAACATATAACTGTAACTGTAATATACGTAGTATTACTGTAACGACTAATATTAAGTATTAACGACGGAGAAATGATTTGATTTTGTATAGCGCATATTTTAGACAACTTTATTCAATACAATCATTGTGCATTACATTAATTAATTTATATAATCTTCAAATATTGTGAAAATCGTCTAATATAACCATGAACTCTCAATGTTCACTGTTTTTTCTAGGAAATTACGTTGTCGCGGTCTCTCCCTAGCAGGTCTAGGGTTTGATTTTCCTTAGCAGATCTAAGGTTTAGTTCTTCCGACTGGTGAATCCCCTTCACTTGTGTCCGGCGCTGGGATTGGATTTGAGGCAGATTGACGAGAATCCTTGCCCAAGCTTGACGACATCGAAGCTAGAGTTCGGTGATCAATTTTTTCGTGAGCAGGGTAGCAAGGGCATGACAGCGATGAAGATGAACGCTAGCGGTGGATTTGCTACGAGCGCGAGACGAGGAGAGGTGCACGGATTTCGAGCAGGCCAGATGACGATTGACAATGGAGGATCAATTAGAATGGTACCAAGGTCACGGCCTCCTCCTGAACCACCGCCATGGGTTGTACGAGGTGTTAGAGTCTGTGGAAGTTTTCCTATTAGTTATTTTTATTCAGTCATTTGGCTTCTTGTTATAGTCTATGTTGTTAGGTTTGTAAGTTTGCTTGGGAATTCAGCCTTTTTTATGTCATTGAGTATGTTTGGATCTATAGGAACAGGGATGGCTATGTCAAGCCCGCTACATGGTTAGCGATTCACGTTGCTCTTTCAGGTGTGACTGTCTCTAAGTCTGATCATAGGGTTTACAGTCGTAGTTATTGGATTTTAGTTGGTGTCAATTTTGTTTTTCTTTTGATTGATGTAATGATCCTGAACCTTATGATATGAAAGAAGGTTAAGCTAGTTGACGATAAAAAAACCATGAACTCTCAAAGTCCAACATCTCCTTTATCAATACAATAATATCTGAATATTTCTCATTCGAGTAGCAAATTAGAAAAACTAACCAGTAGGAAATAGTTTTTGACTTTTAGCATATTCTAGACTGTGTTGGATAAATTTGAGAGTTAAACTAAAGTAAGTTAAATAAGAAAAACAGTGACAAAAAGACAAAATTTGAAAATAATCAAAATTGAAGGGGTATCTAATTGGTTTTTAAGCACAAGGAAGACTGAAAAATTATAATCTAACTTAAAATGGTTGTAAATCTCTCATAAATAAACCATATACCTCCTTCGTCTCCGAAAGAATGTCCAACTTTCCCAAAATGAATGCCCTACTTCTATTTTAGGAAGGAAAAAATTGTGCAATGCCATTAATACCCCATGTCCATTTAATCGATTAAATGTTTCACCCCTTTCTACCCATTTCCGTCGGTTGGCTTTCCTACCCCATTATTACCTTTTATACTATTCTCCTTCTCACTCTACCTTATCTCCTTCCCTCCCCTACCGGTCTTGTAACTCATCTCCTCCACCGCTCCTTCTCACTCTACCTCATATCCGCCGCTGCTAGCCCCTACTTCTTCTCCTTCGCTGCTACCCCCCACTTCTCCTCCGTTGTTACCCCTACCTACCTCTTATCTCCATTGCAAGCAGACCATCTTCGAGCCCTGGCCTGTACATGGAAAAGAAACCTAATCCCACCCCTATCCGTCCGATTAAGATCTTAGATCTTCTCACCCAACCGCATGCAACATTGTTCCCAAATGTTTAGGAGCAAACCTATTTGATTTGTAATCTGATTTCTTGTCCGGTCTCACCGGAGACGTCACATGCACCAGAGCCGTTTTGTATGCCCCTTCATATTCACTTCGGGTACTCCAATGAATCTGAAACCAATTCAGGTTGGGCTTGAAGGAAAGTTTATGGAGACAGGTTGTAATCTGATTGTTCTGCTGGGTTGGAAGGTGTGGAGGACGGCGAGGAGGTCTACTCGACAGCGGCAAAGGGAACAAAGGAGCATGCATTGGCCATGGTCGACCATGACACTTTTAAGGGTGGTACCCTCTACTTTTATCATTATCTATCCTTAATTTTTTGTTTGTTTGATTAATTGGGGCTTGAGTTACGGTTGAAGCATGAATTGGGGGATTGAAACACAGTTTGGCTGATGTGGGGTCTAAGGTTTGAGTGTTGCTTGAAACTTATGATGATTTGGGGTTTGAGTTCAACTTGAATGTATGAATATGTTGCATATGTTTGTAACTATAATTGTAGCAACCCAGTTTCAAAACTGTAGGAGACTCGATTATAAGTGCATTTGACTTGATGGATCTGTGTGTGGATTGTATTCTGAAAACATTTATTATGTCTTAATGCATCTGGGCTTACAAAACCTTTGTCCTTGTACACATGACACTACATTCATAATGTGTACTGTAGGTGTGTACATGTACATACAAAAAAGTGTTACACACTAATTGTGTTTACAAACACCCAAAAAGAAAAAATTGTGATTGAACAACATTTGTAGCAGTTCATATGTGAAGAAAAAATTATCAACTCTTCAATTATGAAATGTTCATTAGTTTGCTCTGCATTGTTGGTAGTTTCCATGTGTCCAATTAGATATGGCATAGCTTATTCATATAGCTCTGCACTGATCTGGATATTTTTTGGTAACAACCCTTGCCTTTCCAAAGAGTTCGTTCCTATATGCTGCAACCTGAAATAGTTGCCTCCATTGTTTTGCATTACACCTTGCGTTACACACTGATAGCTTAGAAAAACCTTGTTCAATGTGCTCAGTGTGAGCTCATTGAAAGCAGTTTGGACAGCTTCAATTAATTATGTAATACTCTTTGCGGCCTTTTGATCTTTTATTGAATCAATAGCTCTAAAGGACCCCAAGTCCAGGACATTCAAGTCTGGACTATTTGGGGGCTGACATATCAGTTGGATGTCCCAACCATTGTATGTCCCACATTTAACAAAGTTTGGATCATCAACCGGAATATGGAGTCTAGCATTGTCTTGTTGAATCATGCCATTTCTTTTTTCTGAATCTGGCCATTTCACCTTGATTGCTGACAGAACTATATTCAATAGCATATCTTTAATTATTGCTCTTGTCACACTTGTGATTGGTTTAGTCTCTAGAGTCCCAGCAGGCCTATTTTTGCTTGATCTTTTGGCTGCTTCTTCATAAGTGAAGGGATATACCTACTTTACCAGCCCACTCCACTTCCCCATTCTGTCCCAGGCTAGGCCTACCAACCACAACCAAGAACATGATTTTAAGAATGAACTTTTTGGACTGCACTGATCTGTATGGATCATTTTCTTTAGGCAATGTGTAAAACATGGTAGTTTCTTTAGATAGGTAGAACCACTTCTCATGAATGTGTAAATAATTATGAAAATCGTGAAAACTGGGCTGCTAGGAATGGAAGTTGGGTTTATGTGACTTAAACAATATTCTAACCTTTTTAGTTTCACAACTTCATTCAAGAAGGGCTTCATAACACTTGAATGTCTTTTGATTTGCTTTCTTTGAAACCATCTATGGACTATGGGTTTATGTGACTTAAACAATATTCTAACCTTTTTAGTTTCTTTGATTTGCTTACATTGCATAGCCGAGAGTACGCATATGTTTTCTCTGGTGCAATAGTACTTCAGAAAGCTTTTGAGCATCAAACACTACCCGCTTTCTTCCCACATTTCCTTTGCAATGACTTTGCATATTTACATGCTCACCACCAAGCATTTGCTCTTTTGCTTTCTTCCACGGCCTCTGCACAGTGCGGGTTGTAATGTTGAACTCTTTTGCTATGTTCTTAATTACACCCCACTGAAGTTTCCCTTCACAAGAACTACCTAACAACTTTTCAATTAATTTTTTCCTATCATCAGCAATAAATTTTGGCTTGATACTAGAGATGACAATTTTGGCCGACCCGTTGGATACCCACACCAAACCGATTTGACTGGGGAACGGGTACGGGGCGGGGAATACCCGATATTTTAAAATGGATAATGGTGCGGTTATGGTTCTATACTAATCCACGCCGAAACTACCCCGTTCACTAATGGTGCGGGTACCTGCACTGTTACCCATCTGTAACATTATTAATAAATTATAACTCTTTATATATAAGAATAATAAGTATATATGCTAAATCGTGTACACTAAATCGTATATACTTTATTAGTATACAAAGAATAATAGATCAGAGGCCCACTTCAAAAACCCTAACATCCCTAACTCAGAGTTAATTTAATGGCGTAATGAATTTAGGCCTAAAATTGTTTTTTGCGAAAGATTACTACTTTTTTAGGCCTCAAACTAAATTTAGGCCTAAATTTGTTTTTTGAATTTAGATTCTGGGATGATTACTACTTTTTTTATTATAATACAAGAGGTATTGGGTGCGTGTCATACTAATTAATTTAGGACTAAAACTGCTTGATTGCTTGAATATTTACTTTTGTACTCCCTCCGTCCCAAAAACAACTTCTTACTTTCCTTAAATGGATGTCCCAAAATTAACTTCACACTTCTTCCCACTTCCTTATTTGGCAAATTATGTACATCAAAACAGTGCCAAACAGTGTCCAAACCGTGTCAAAACAGTAAAATTTATCCCCCAGTAAGTTTATTTCCTTAATATGTGTGGGAAACGAAGTGTGAAGTTGTTTTTGGGACGGAGGGAGTATATTTATGGTGCTTTGAATATATAATTTTTAATTTATTACGAAGGATGTTTACATTAACAAGTAGGATTAGAAATTGGTTATTTGGTACCATTTGGGCAAACGGTTACCCATGGATAAATCGATTCCCCTTTGGGGCAGGTACGGTTCAAATAAAAATTATCCGAACAGGTAATGAGGCAGTTTCAGGGTAAACATTTATCCAACGGGGTGGTTTCGGTTTTATGTGTACCCGTCCTGGATCCGCCACGTTACCATTCCTACTTGATACCTGTTTGCCTTTCAACTGTAGGTTCTGAAGCTGTCTCTTCTGATTGTGAGCTGTTTGTAGGTGACAACGGGCCGAGATTCACCACATCCAAAGGCGTTTCGTTGACATCCAAAGCCAGTGCTTGGTCTTGACTTGTGTCCATTTAATGGTCGTATTGAAATATTGAATGCTAAGTTTTTGTAATGAATGTGACGTTTTTATAGTTGTAGGTCATTGGTAGATTAGAAGATGTAAAAACATTTGAAGTTAAAATTTGGAGGGAGTTGAATTTTTGGCAACCAAATTGTCTTGGTAGACAATTGGTATGCACCGTAGAACCATCTTGTCAAATTAGAAATTGTACTTTAATGCTTAATGTCCACTCCTTTTGTTCTCTTAATTCAATCCCCTTCCCTTTATTTTCTTTTTACCGTGGGGTATTAAGGGTAACTAGTAATTCCACCCGTGCTACGCACGGGAGTGAGATGTTTGGATCAACCAAATATATACTCAAAGAATTTCATAGTCAATTAACCTAACTCAAAACATAAAATAAAAAACTAATACAAACTAATCACATTAAACAATAAAATAAAATAAGTATTCATATTTAATACGACATTAAAAAATAATGCTAAAAGTTAAGTACATATCATGAAGTGATATGCTAGCAATGAGTATGGATGTATGCATGTAAAGCAAGGGAACTACAAATTAGTATAAACTTCTTTGTATACTATATTCAACGCTGACTTCTTTGGTTTCCCTTCTTCGTCACATATAACAAACTTTAACCCAGACGGACTTGTTACTCTCGAGACAGCCACGTACAACTGTCCATGCGTAAAAATAGGACGACGGAGGAAGATGCCAACCTTTTCCAATGACTGTCCCTGGCTCTTGTTGATGGTCATTGCATAGCTAACCATTAACGGAAATTGCCTACGCTGAAAAGTGAACGGGAGACTAATGTCCGATGGTGTCAAAGTAAGGCGGGGAATAAGAAATTTTTCGCCGGCATTTTCTCCGTGCATCATCTGAGCCTCAATAATATGAGTTCCAAGTTTAGTGACCAGAAGTCGTGTGCCGTTGCACAATCCAGATGAATGATCGATATTCCTCATAAGCATCACAGGAACTCCAACTTTCAGCTTGAGCTCATGACTCGGTAAGCCAGAACATTTGATGCTATTAAGAAATTCAGGAGAATGTATCTCATGCAAGAGATCATTACTATCCGAGTCAGATGAAGAAACTGAATCTGAACTTAGGTATGTCTTTAACTCTGAATCTATCTGGCTCAACATGTAATCGTTGACCTTATCAACCTCATCTATGGTTGGAGCAAGAATAGCCCTGGAATAAAGATAATTAATCGGATCACCCTGGGTTAAGAAATCTGGATAAATAGCTTGAACTATAGATTCAACAGGATCAGACGTCATTGGAGCAATCATATCGTCTGGTATTTCAATTAGTGATTCTCCCTCTTGATTTTCAGCAAAAGCTCCGTCACCAATCTTCAAAATCCACTCTGCAAAAGATTGGATAGTTGGTCCATCCGGCTGGCCGAGCATCCTTGTTAGCCTCATGTTTTTAGTAAGCCTCACTACAGTACAATTTGACCACAAGAATGAACTGTTCAGTGCGGCGTGCACAATATCTTGTCTCGTGCCTTTTGGTATCACAGGAAGAATTTGCCTAAAATCACCACCAAATACAATCGTCTTCCCACCAAAAGGCAAGGTAGTGTCACAGTGGCTGGAGTAACGAAGCACGTCTCTCATACTCCGATCAAGAGCTTCAAAACAGTGTCGGTGCGTCATAGGTGCTTCATCCCATATAATTAACTTAGATAACTCTATCAGCTTGGCCAACGGACTACCATGTTTTATGTTGCACGTGGAGTCTTCTACAACACTAAGTGGAATCGCAAACCTCGAATGTGCGGTTCTTCCTCCAGGCAAGAGAAGCGATGCTATACCACTTGAAGCCACGTTAAGAACTATATCACCGCGAGATCTCACAACCGCAGACAAAGTCCTCCATAGATATGTTTTCCCAGTTCCTCCGTGGCCATATAAAAAGTAGAATTTCCCGTTTCTACTATCTACAGATTCCATTATCCTATCATACACAACACGTTGTTCATCTGTCATCTCGGCCAACAACTTTGCATGCTCCTCAATCAGATACGATTTATTATACCGCAGCTCTTCATGAATGAGAACTTCTTCAAGCGAGGGCATTTCATCATCAGGTAGCAAGGGTATGCCAGCAAAATCACGTAATGATCTACCTCTCGACTGCAAGAGCTTCTGAATCTCCAACAAACAGTACTTTTCAATTTTCTCTTTATCCAGTTCAAAATCTGCAGTAGCGCATTTAAATATTTTAGTACCTTAGTTAAGATTAAACTAATAAATCAAATATTCCACAATATATACATTTCATCACAACCAAATTACACATGTAATACTTCTAACTTTAATTAACATGCACATAAAGAAAACATGTTTACTAATTCAGTAATTAAATGTTGTTTATTTTATTAAATTCATCACTCAACATGAAAAGATGCATAGCTTTTTGTATTTTTTAAGTGAAAATGTATAGTAAAAATTAAGTAATAGTAAAAGTGCTATTATTTGTATTAATTGATAGACCTTTATTTGTTAAACCTTTTAGATTTTTTCTGTCAATTTAGTAAATTTAATAAGTTCACTCTACGTATATTTTTTATACTATTATGAAAAAGCATCCAAAAGGCATATATAACATAGTAAGAAGTACTCCCATAGTAAACTACGTTACTGTACATGGTAACATAGTAGAAGGTATCATTCATATTACCTAAATAAATATTTTGTAATAAATAATTTTAATAAGGTAATAAACTACTAACATTTAGTATATTCAAAAAATATTTTTTATGATGATCTTTTTCATATATATAAGTAATGATTAGCTCAGGTAGTTGTTACGTTAAACCCCGTTCGAACTTTCCTATCACAGGTAGTTCCCGGTGATAGTTTTTAATGAAATTTTGTGAGTATTCTCATCATCAAGTATAGTTTATTACCACCAAATTTAAAAGCAACTGCGCCAGAATGTACACGAAAAATGCAGTCATTTTCCATGATTTATTCAACTGATTTCCTGATTTAATTTCAAGGTGAAAATTTGTGGATATAATCTACACTTCATGAGGAAGGTTCTCATAAAATTTCATTAAAAATTTCCAACGACATCACACCTGATAGTCAAGTTTGGACCGGGCTTCCTTGCAAAACTACTTGATGTGATCTTTTTCGTATATATATTAATATACTATCATGTACATTTTTTTATCTCACTTAATATGTCATTAGCTATGTATGTAAGACAATCAATTAAGTATTTCATCGAGAAGTAATTATTGTAGAACTAAAATATCTAAATTTTTATAAGCGAGTAATTCACTAAAAATAAAAAAAGATGGTTTAGAATATAATATACCTGGATTACCCGTATTCTTGCGAATATTGTATAGTATGTCATCAGAGAAAAATTCCCAACACTTTTGCCACACTAAGCCTGGCTTCGAAAACTCATTTGAAACCAGTAGAGTAGCAAATACAATGCGAAGTGACCGTGAAGAAGACCAGAAGCTCGCATCTGTAATGCCATCAATAAACTCCTTGTCATCTTTAAGTAAACCACGCGCGTGGCACGCGTCTCTAAATGTAGGATATACGGTCCCTTCATAAGTCCTCAACTCCTCAAAGCTGGTTGCTCCCTTCACAATATTCAACAATATTCGTAGGTAGTACTTCTCCCCTGCTCCAGGTCGTACATAATAAATGCGTCCAATAGCAAATCCTCTCTTCCTTTCTACCCATTCCATGGTATTTTTCTTCCACCTGAATTTGCTTGGAAACTCAACATACGTCAGCTCTTTGGCAGTGGGATACACTTGATTTGCTTTCATCCAAGCCGTGAATTTTGTGGAGTTGATTGTTGGTTTATTCAGTACTGAGCTTATAGATGCATTGGGATTGTAGTATACGTTCTGTGCATCAGGAAGATGAAAAGTGAGGCGCTCAACTGGTACATCTCGATAATGAATATGGAATCCGAAAATTCTCCAAGCAGCCTCACATGCGGATATATACCGACAATCATAGTACATCTTAATTTCATCTATTATTTTTGGAGTAGAGTTATCTATGGCTTCTGAGAACACAACGGTTATCCGATCGTCACCCTTATTGATGTACTTAAATAAGTACTTAACTGCCCGTGTTTGGTTACACCACTCGACATTAATGTGAGCACTATACTTCAACAATAAGCCACGGTTGTGTGGGATGACATATCTATTATCGAGATCGTGGGTATTCTTAGTAACATACCTGCCGTTGTCTCTGCGTCTGTAAATCGGATAACCTTGCTTATCCATTGTCGTGCGAACGACAAATCTCTTTGGAAAGTGCTTTGTGCACCGGCCTTTTTCTGTGCATGGTGCAGATGCATTCATAGGGCCACATGGACCGTGGATCATCAATTCTTTAACTGCATTGTAATACACAGGGTCAGCATATTCATCTGGGATCTCTGCTGAAATAATTCTATCGATCATCACCGATGGGTTTGCATTGCGCTCTGTCATCGAAAGCCACAATACAATGTGCGCATGTGGTAATCCACGTTTCTGAAACTCCACAGTGCAGACAACTGCACAACAAAATTAAAATAAATGTTTTTGATTAATAAGATAATTAAATTAAAATTGTCAAGTGATTGTTATATTTTTTGCATATATAAATGACACAAGTTCTTTCAAAAAAAGTGACATGTGTGCTTAAGGATATACACATATAGGTTCTCTATCGCATAACATTTTTTATGTATTTCACATCATAATTCATCTTTAAGAAAATGTTTTTTATATTTCAAAATTAAACTGAACATAATATGAATTTCATTACTTTTGTAAAACCATAGTCGTCTATATTTATATGTTTAGCGGCCAATTTCTAAATCTGTTTTAAAAAAATATACAAAAACACAAATACATAGTACTCTGTATCTAAATCGCCTAAACACATACATACATAGAGAATTCATTTCATCCGGCAGTCCGCACCAGAACCACTGTCTACATGTATGACTAATTTTCCTGTCTGTCCGGACTGACCATAACAGCCATTCGGATGACGCAATCTGAGGACCTTCCCGGTGGACGTTTTTGAAGATATTTGGTGATGAGATTATTCTTCACGAATTTTTTATTGTCTCCAAAAAGTTTAAACTTAAATATCAATTGAGAACCTAATAAAATAAATCATTAAAACGCACTGCCCAAAAATATGCATAAAAAACACATTGTCATTCAAACAAATATTTTAACTTACTTTCAGATTGAATCTTAAGCTCAAATTTTGTGCGAACGTTCATCATGAAGTTTAGATTATCTCCAAAACATTTTAGCTTAAAATTATACTGAGAAGCCAACTAAATAAATCATTGAAACACACTGCTCAAATATATTCATAAAAAACACAATGTTTTGCAAAAATTTAGTTAACTTACTTAATGATTGAATCTAAAGCTGAAGGTTTGTGTGAATATATTGATAATGAAGTTTCAATAATTATCTCAACAAAATTTCATATCCAAATTCTATTGGAAAGTCAGTTAAAAATTTTATTATTGAAATGCAATGCACCAAAATATGCATAAAAAATGCAGTATTTTTCATAGAATTATTTAATTGACTTTCCAATTGAATTTTAAGCTGAAAGTATGTGTGAAAAATCTAAACTTCATGAAGAAAATGCTCACAAACTTTCATCAAAAAAATCGACTGCAAAGACCCTCAGACAGGCTTGACCTGATGACAGCTCTTGTCAGTCCGGACTGACCTAAGTATCCCCTTAAATATATTGCGTATTAATTAAAGATGGCATGTATCCCAAAATACATAGCTAATTTTTTTCACATTGGTCTACAATCATTAAGAAGGTTTGTCATTTTAAACATTTTTTAATTACTTTATATTTCATGAAGATACCAGAAATTGAACTAATACTTTAGCACATAGTTCTTATTTATACACAGTCATGAATTTAAATATTACCTGCTTTGACATCACCAAATAACTTATTTTCCTTCAGATCCTTGATGAGAAGTTCGAGTTTTAGCTTAAAAACCCTGGAAAGGATATCCGGTCGGTCATTTGGATCCAATCCCTTGTCATCAACATAGCGAATAATCTCCGGCCATTTCGGATTACATGTAAATGTGATGAATAGTTGTGGGTACCCCGCCCATTTACATATAGCCATTGCATCTTGGTAATTTTGCAACATATAGCGTGCACTACCTGTGCCACAAAAAAGAAGGTTTGTTACAACATGTTCTTTTTCGGATTTCAATTTGATGGATTGCACAAATTACAAAAGAAGTGAATGATAATTTTATGTTGGTTTCTGTAGGACTGTTTGTCATTATGAATTATTTCAAAAAAAAGCGTGCACTACCTGTGAAGGAATTTGGCAAAACAATTAATTGGCCGACTCTAGATGCATCCGTTTCTCCCCTTCCAGCAACGTCTGCTAAGCCACTATATAAGTCACTTCTTAACTGTTTCTGGTGGAGATGGATGTACTGCAATCGTGATGATTCAACCATTGTATACCCATCAACAATGAATTGTTGAAACAATCTCTTTGATCTCAATAGATAAGGTGATTCATCAGTCCTCTCCTGCAATCTGTATGAAAAGAAATCTTTTATGGTGACACGCCTCCTCCCACTCTCGCTCTCGCTATTTATTGCACGCGTCAACGACACATCTTCTCTAAACCCATCTTGGCCATATGGAAATAAAAGTGGGTATTGCAAACCCAAGAAAGACGGGTTCAATTCAGAAATAATTTGTAGAGCACCTGTCTTTGTTTGAAGAAGCACATCTCTTTCTTTTTTGTTTACATCAAAATCACCTTCAATTAGCGCTGCAACTTCATTGACACTTGGCATGTTGTAAGTGCGGCCTTCTGAGTGCCTTTTGCCGATGAGTTTCATTTTCAATGTGGTGGAATTAGACTCATTAAATCGATCTCTCGCCATTCTGAATGATTTTGCATGCACATTGTATGTGTCAAGCATTTCTTTCAAGTCTTGCACCAATGAAGATTGCAAGGAGGTATCATCCTCATTCCTGCATCATATTTATTTAATTAGTGGTACAGACGGAGTGATACTATTCAAGGGATATTTAAAATAAGAAAACATAATAATTGTATTATATTACAATTGAAGATAGATTAAAACTACTGAATTTGTTCACATAGAGTTTAGAACATTTGCTCACAAATTAACTATCATTTGAAAATAGTTGCTGAAACAATTGTACTAATGATTTTTTTTTCATTTGTACAAAACATTATTACTCTCAACCGTATGCACTATTTTGAAGCATTCAAATTAATGTTTTTTAAATTCATTTTCCTGATCATTTAAAGTTTTTAAAAGCGAATTTAATTCTCATTGTGAAGATTTAATGTTCATTTAATAATTGTGCTTTCTAAAAATTACCTCACAGCGTTTATTCTGTGTGCAATCTCTTCAGCTGGATCAGATAAGTACATCTGTAGAAACTTAGGTCGCTGTCCATCCTTTGGCAAAAGGCTTCCAATTGTGTGATAATTCTGACCATTCAATCGGAATACGGGAGGTGAAGTGCCACTATTTATGCTTCCATCAGTTTTTCCGCACATTGAAGTAAACGAAAACATAGAATTATATGAACGTATATTTTTAAGGAAATGTCCACTACGCTCATCTGTGCCAAATATCAAAGCCCCTAACAACTGTGGGGGTGTTTGCATCTTGGGGAGTACAACATCTCCTTGATTGCAACACATTGAAAACTTTGGTTTTTGCTTTCCATGTCTTTTAACTCTTTCAGCATGCCAAAATAGAGATCCACAATACTCACATGTGTAAGTACTGTCACCCAGATCTAAACAATCTGCATACAAAAAATAGAAATAATCTCAAACATATTCCACAAATACTTAAATTCATTTCATTAATCTATTTAATAATAATGATCATATAAAAAATCTTTAAAATGTTCTCAATAAAAAATTACTAAATACCTTCATACGAATTAAATGCATATGATGCGTCTTCCACTGCAAATAAAAAGAAATAATTATGTTTATAAATTAATAAATTTCATTTCATTTTGCTGATGTAAAAGGCATGATGGTTAAAAAATACTACTCGATGAATAACTCATAACCAATTTTATTTACCATCAAATGCGATCCCATCATCATCTGAAAATGTATCAGGTATCTCTGTGCACCTATCTCCTGAAAATAAGTAGTGACATGTGCATTTTAACACTCTAGTTATGCACATAATAATATATATAAATAAAAAAATTAAATCACATGATACACGAATTATTTGAATAATATATATTTAAAAATTTATTACTTTATATTCATGGATTGAAATGTTACATTCATTTATGAGTGTTAACATCGTTGATACCTTCAGTATTTTTATCTACTTCATAATATGTTCCATTGACATCGCCAACGTCCAATAATTCAATTTGTTCAGAAGTGAATGTAGTACGGGCCTCAGACATATCTCTTTTTCGTGATGTTTCAGCAGGATAAGGAGTGTAAGATAGAGAAGTTGTCCCTCCAAAACTTTTACCAATAGTAAGTGTTCTCGACGGGACTAAACAAAAGAATAATAAGAAATAATAAAAAACATAATAATAAATTGTTAAACTGGAAAAACCAAATTTTATAACGCTTCATAGTATTATTACCGTTCGTTATGTTTTGCAATGGTGCTCTTTTCGAACACAAAGAAGAACTTTTATTCAAGTCAAGAGGGAAAATGGCATTTGGTTCATTTTCGGTTCCCACTGCTCTTGGTCTTTTAGGACCAGTTTGAATCCTGTCAGCAATGCCAAGATTAGAATCTTCATTATTGGAGTCGGCATTCTGCACAATTTCACCTAAGGGAAATGATCTTTTGCCTATTATAATGGTGGATTTTGTCAATTTCCTCATCGAATGTGTTTTCCAATTAGAACCCTACAAAAAAAATTGTTAGCCAAAGTTAGCATTTGTTATGCACAAATATATTTTTATTTGTTACTGTGCACGATGTGGTTCACACACATACTGAAGATATATGTATCATAATTTATGGGTAATTAAAGTCCCATATTTTTAAATTCTGATTATTTGTTGGATTTGAGCTCATAGATTCCTTTATATACCATTATCCGGAAAAATTGAACTTTTTATTTTGAAGACATCGCAAGCCTAAACCCCCACTTTTTATTTTATGAAGCATAGAATTTGCCTAATTAACTTTTCACTGCCACCAAAACATAAACATTTGCGTTCTCAGTTATTAAAGATTACATAGTTTTTCATCAGTGTGCAAACCTATACTTCTATATAGCATGTTATATGAAATCATTGATTTTTATTTACGGATAGTTGTTACTATATAGCAATAATTGGTATTTTTTAATATTAAAAGAGAAACAATGACAGTTGGCCGTATTATTTTTCACTTTTTCCAAATAACATCATACAAATAATACTCCCTCCGCTCCGGTCATTTCTTCCAACTTTCCTTTTTGGACCGCCCCAAGTTAATTCTTCCAACTTCCACTTTTGGAAAAAATATGTGGTTCACATTCATTCACTTTTTTCTTACACAACTACAACCATACATTTTCACTTTATTCTCACTACCTAAATTTGCGATACCGGTCAAAACCGGAAGAAATGAGCGGGCCGGAGGGAGTACATATATAAAACCTTTGTAGTATTAATTATACTTTGTATAAAACTTGGGCATTAAAATACTATCCCACGTCTTCGTTGTAAAAGAAGAGGAGTCAATGTATGGTACATTTGTAATGCTTCAAATAAAAAGTAATGATTTTAATATTTATATATATAAGGGTGCCGGTATTGATGACTATTGAAAATATTAAATTTGCTAATAACTATTCAAATGAAAAACTGAACATGCAGTAATTATCTATTAAGAAGTTTAGGTCATCCTTTCAAAAAAAAAAGAAGTTTAGGTCATTAGAAGTATTATTCATATCAATATATATGAACACATTGTAAGAAACATGAGACTTATAATCAAATTTATAACAACGACGGAGCAAACTAAGGTAAAAATCATATTGAGGAAGGGTTCCAAATTTATATACGGAGTATTAAAAAGGTTAAGTTTTCTAAACCTGAAATTGAGATTTGGAAGTAATATTTGTTCTCCGACATACTGTAGAAACGTTGAGTATTTGTAGTCGGTAAGATTGCAATCATACTTATGTTTGCTGCTTTTTGATGACTGTATTACTCATCGTGCCATACATACTGCCTGCATATATATATATATATATATATATATATATATATATATATATATATATATATATATATATATATATATATATATATATATATATATATATATATATATATATATATATATTAGAAGATTTTTATGATTGCTGCCATCATAGAAGTGTTTAGAAATAGTTGAACTTAAGAGTCTTTCAAATAGAACATTAAAATGCTTCAAGAGTTCTTCAAAACATACAAACTATCGTATGTGATCGAGCTTTGTGGCATTCTGTTTCAACAGCTTTGCATTAGACCTGTTAACCGCTATGCTGCACTAGCTTCTGTTTTAACATATTATATATAACAGAACACAAATGCTCTCTCAGTCCTTATTACAAAGCTTTGTAAGTGGAAAATATTCATAATCAAATCGTATACCGTAATTCACTTGTGCTTGAGGAATCCGGAATGGCGGCGAGCGGTGTAGAAGAGGAATGGACGGCGAGACGGCTCTGCCAAAAAGTATATAGCTGAGATCACGGTAGAACCACCGTACCGCTATCAAGAAGGAGAGCACTTGATCGAATTGATGTAACTAACCGAGCGAAGCTTTTTTGTGACTGCAGGGACTTCTAATTGGAGTGAAACTGTATCTTTGTTGCTTCTGTTAGTTGGTGACGGAGTTATAATTGCATCTTTGTGGCAGCTGCTCATTGTTTGTTGGTAGAGACTTCTAATTGACGTGAAACTGAAAGTACATTTGGAGGAGTATATTAAAATTTTCGATGTAATTTTTTTATAAAAGTCAAAACCTTTTTTGATGAAAGTCAAAACCTTGATAAAATTATACTACCTCCGTCGTGCTATGATTGTCCCATTTTAAATCATTCATACTTAATTCTTACTTTATCAATTCAATATCAATCACATAAACCACTTTTTATTGATTCGTGTGTCACTCCCTCTTATCCCATTGTTAGCGGAACGGGGGGAGTACTTTCTTTAATTTCAAGGGTAAAATGTATTGTTATTTTGATAAATTTAATTAATTTCAAGATGTATTAAAAATGATTAAATCTAGATAGGATAAAAAGAGAAGAAAAAATTAGATAATGTGGAGCTAAGTAAAAACGATTCAATGGAAAAGTTTGGTTATATATGTAAGGACTTAAAATTCTAAAAATCCTCATGATGATAATTCAAAGAATAAGAATGATTTAGCTATGAAACAATTAAGAATTATCACATCATTGGATGTGAGAATTTAGTAGTCAACAATAATAGACTTAATTCCTTAAGTAACAGTAAAACATTAATAAGTTGCACTATAGGACTATCATGTTTTCTTCCTAAATAAAGATCATCAAGGATGTTTTTACTTGGATTATAATTTGTTGGTCTGGTCTGGTTTGGTCTGAATTGGTCTGATCTGGTCTGATTTCTTTGTATTTTTATAACTATCCAAGTCTGGTATGGTCTAGTCTGAACTGGTCTGGTCTGGTATGATCTGGTCTGGTCTGGTCTGGGACGAATTATAGTCCAAGTAAAAACATCCTATTTGTACAATACTGGTATTATTTATTTAGATAGAAGAAAGTTTAATAGTTTATTTAAATGTTTTGAGTTTTTTTTTTGAACGGTTATTATTACTATACATGTTAGCTTAGACCAAAAAAGTTGTTCAATTTTTCTAAAAGCAAGCCTATTTAATTTCTCCGCTCCTAGGCCCTCAAACATAGAGGGTCGATCTTGCTAATCTTTGTCACCGGTCAAAATATTTGTAATAAATAAAATTTACAATTGTGCAAACGAAAATAAAAGATTAATATTGATTTATGTTGACCACGTCAGGATGTTTTTACCTGGACTAAAAAATTCTGGTCTGATCTAATCCGATCTGATCTGATCTTGTCTGAAATAGTCTGATTTGGTTTGGTTTGGTCTAGGACTGAAAACAATTCAAATAAAAAAGTAATGAATATTAAACGGAACTATCAAATTGTGACGGGAGGTACATCGTTTTATTTGAATCTTTTTTCTTAAACACCGTACAAAGTACACACTTGATGAAATATAACACGTTTGAACTCCAATTGTCAAATAAGCAAGTAAACCATCATTAACTCCAATTGTCTTATTAAAAACATGTAGTTCCTCACAATAAATCCTTAATATTGGGTGGTGAACTTCAAGCTATTTAAAATGACTATGAAATTTATTTTCATTTTGATCTTCAACGTAATACCTAGAATTGTTGTGTTTTGTTAATGTTATAATTCCAACCTTATATTGTTATGTAATGTTTAACTTATTCGTAGTAGATTTATATATACTAAACTAAGTACACATATATATAATTCATGATGAGCGTGTTGTCAAAATTAATCAAAAAATTCCACCAAGAAACCACTCAAATGGACTTGCCCAAACAGGACTTCTATAATTCTAGATTGATGAGATTTTTACTCTTTATATACGCAGTAGTAACTATGTAATAAGCTTGCAATAGGATGAATAAAAATGCTAACATGCATGGGGTGAATAAAAAATGCTAACATGCATAAAATATGTCAGAATTGACGAAACAAAAATGCTAAATACACATCTATATTACAAACCATCATTACATCTCTTCTTTTTTATTCTCATCTATACTAACACGCATGGAGTGATTGGATCGAATTTGTGATCTACCAGAGCAAACCAAATTTGATCATATGATATTTCATTAAAAATACTTGTAGATATTTCATAACGGACAGCATATGTCAGTGTGTAACAAGATGCAATGTGTGATGCTAACTTTGTAAATTTTGGTTGTAGAATTTCTAATTTGAAATTTAGATAAGGTATTAGGAAAGGAACTTGCAGCCCAAAACATTTTTGAGCTGCAAGTTCCTTTCCTAATACCTTATCTAAATTTCAAATTAGAAATTCTACAACCAAAATTTACAAAGTTAGCATCACACATTGCATCTTGTTACACACTGACATATGCTGTCCGTTATGCCCACCAATTAGAAAGATCAATACCAACAAACACTCAACAGAATTTTAACCACAATCCACATAAAACATATTGAGACATCGAAACGATAAAAGATGTATCATTTGTTGATTTTTTAAGGTAAAACATCGTAGATGCAAAAAATGGAAAAAATCTCATAACTTCAGTATATATGAAATTTATAATATAGTGATAAATTGTCTTGCTTATTCAAACCAAAATAAAAATTAAATCACACACGTCATTATTCCCAAGTAGCAAAATTCAAAATTCATTAGAAAATAAATTATTGCATGTCAAGTCAAATCTCAATCTTAACCCCCTTCAATTTCTTGGTGGCTGAGCTTTGTTCCGTTCCATCAGATGCATTTTCATCATTAACATGTCTCTTGGACAAAACCGACTCGGGGGTACAATGAGATTCAACATCTTGTGAGTGCGGCGTCTGAAAAATTGCACACCTGGATCAGTTCCTTTTCACTAATTTGCATATAAATTTCTATTTATAACAAAGTTGTAAATATTTTACCATATTTGATTCGACATTGGTGTCTTCACCACACATCAAATCAAGATCGGAATCTGAGTTATATACCTAATACGAACCAAAGGATAGTAACCAAGCGTTAGAGTTTTAGTTTTTTTATTACATAAATACCACAATACAGCAAAGTTGTGAGCAGGTTTAAAAGCCAAGTTCCTCTTTTTGTGTGAGATTACTTTTTTAGTTTAACAGTTAAGCACAAAAGTAGTATAACAGCATCTTAATAAAGTATTTACACAAGTGTATGTTAAAGTTCAAGTGTTTGCAAGTTTGTAGAAACTAATTTCAAATGGGCTATTTTCAAATATGGTTATTTAAAAGGGAAAAATTTACTATGCCGGCAACAATCAACTTTATTCCGTTTTCATAAATTTTTAATTAATTTTGTGGAGACAATTAATACCTCAAATACTTCCTCTTGAACAGACTCCTTCAACTCTTTAATTTTTTCTGTGTTTTCAGAAAACGCAGCTATTGTATACTCATTCTGATTTGTAAGGGTATTGAATTTCCGATTCCCAACTTTGAATATGAATTCCCGGCCAATCAAATCCAAGACATCATTATGAACATCAGAAGGCGATAAAGTCTCCTGCATAAAAGAAGAGCAGTAAATTTTATACTTAAAATACACTACTAATTCCAAATTATTAAAAATCTCAGATAAACATAACACAGAATATAAATTGAACACTTTACCAAGCTAAGACTGTCACTTAGATCATCTGCTGGTTTGCCAATTAGCTTACTTGAAACATCATCCCACATAACTACCTCAACAAAATGCTTACTATGCTTCACCATTAATTTTAACATGTACCGCCAAATACCTGTCTGTTTGACATCTCGACAACTGTGACAATAAAGAGATGCTCCCTCATACTTAAGCTTTTTAAAGCATGTTTTACTACTACATCCCAGGTAAGCCCAATTCTTTAATGATAGAATTGAACAAATTTGGGCGTAGAACCAGCAACCCTTAACCTGTATACCAAAGTAATAGTTAACTAAAATACTCATTATTTAATGTTAGATTAGGAAGATCTTTCTACAATACAAATTTGGGCGTAGAACCAGCAACCCTTAACCTGTATACCAAAGTAATAGTTAACACAAATACTCATTATTAAGAATTACTTCCTTAATCAAATTTATTCTCAAGTTGTTATATTTTAATGTATTTTGAATGTTTATTTGTAAGAATCCACGATAGCAAACTGAATGTGTTGAACTACATTTGTTATCATACACATATGATATACCAATCTTTAAAAAATTGTTCACTTAAACTCATTACTAAAGTCAGTTTAATATTGTATTTTTAATATGGTTAAAATGGTTAAATAGATTAGGAATATGTATTTTTTTAATAACTGCAAAATGAACTAATATTTTACTGATCAACTTAGCCAGTTTAATGAATCTTCTTTTATCGTCAAATTCATTATTTGAATATAATGAATCTTCATTATATTGACAAATGAAATGGTTAATATGGTTAATGTATTTCTTTAAATTAAACTCATCACTGAAGTCAGTTTAATATTGTTTTTTTAATATGGTTAATATGGTTAAATAGATTAGGAATATGTATTTTTTTAATAAATACCAAATGAACTTCTAATATTTTTTTTAACTTAGCACATTATTTGAATTAGTAAACATGAAAAATTCGGGATTCTATTTTGTAACTTCAAGGCATGCTTTTTACAGGTTGCATGTTTTTTTTTATTTTGGGCTACTATCGCTGCTTTGTTTATAGGCGAGAGATGTTTTAAAAAAAGGATGACATATGTAAGAAAAAGCAATGAAAAAACTATCTTTGGAATTTTAAGTCAGAAGGAATTTGGTATGGTATACCTTTCCATAAATATTATTTAGACCTCTAAAGCACCTATATTGCAAAGTTAATAAAATGGTACGGTGAAAACAGTTTGCCAAATAAGATTGAAATTCTTGAGTGATATAAGTATTTGTGCATATTTTTAACAAAACTTCAACATTATTTGAATGAAGTAAAATATGCAAAATTGGCGGAAAATCAGCATAATTTTCAGATGAGTTTAGGTAATACACTTCAGTAGCTTAACGGTTTTTATTCTGATGGGTAATGTTACTTGGTTGATTCGTTAGCAAAATATTTCTATTCTGAAACAGTTTAGTTCATAGGCGAGGTATACTAAAACATAAAGAAGAAAAAGATGAAATATGTAAGAAAAAGCAATGTAAAAACTCTCATTTGATTTTTCAATTAGAAGGAATTCGGTATACAACTTTCCGTACAGATTCTTTGGTCATCTAAAGCACATAAATTGCAGAATTATTAAAATGAGGAAAGCATTGATGAGGTTGATCCTGGAATTGTCGAGTAATGTTACTATTGGTACTGTTTTTTTAATCGACTTCCCACATTATGTGAATTAAGGTTTTTTTACTGATTGCCAATGTTACTTAGTTGACAGGTTGACATTTTTTATGTTCTGATTGATATTTAGGAAATCATATAAAATCATACCTCTTTGGCGGTGTCCAAATCAAAAAGAGGCATGGTAAACCCAAACTGCGTGATATCATCTCTTATAGTCACGCAAGATGAAGTTGCATGACTTGCAATTGACTTCATTGTTTTCGTTGAATTCAAAAACCTAGATTTGTTCATAATGTGAATATAAATCATAATATAAATAAATCATAATATAAATTTGACACATTTAGTTATTATAAAGAAGGAAAAGGATCATTACTGGCATCGGAAATCCTCTATCTCTGGAATATGGTCATTCAAAATTAACTTGGTAGCATCCCATGAAGAAGCCACTCCAATCTTTTCACCTATAGGTGAAAAACGTATAATTTAATGAACAAAAAAAACTATTACATCTTTACAGGTGAAAAGGTCATGGTCAGACATATTTACCATATCTTTTATTTGTGCGGCATGCTTGGATAATGAATATAACTGGACCATTAAACGAAGTAGCTAAAAACCTCTCGACTTCAAGCACCAGGTCTCCATACAAAGTACATAAAACATTTTGGCCCCTTCACAATAGTATTACGGTATAGCAAAATTGTAAAACATTATGACAAATTATTCATGCATTACGGATAAAATAGAGTTTTGAAAGGAACTCAACTCCAAGTCTGCCAAATGAAAATCGGTATACCAAGCATCCTTTTGTGTCTTTTGCTTTTTGAACTCTTGTTCAACATCATACGCACCAATCACATCTGTGTTCATTCGATTTAACATTATCATCAATAAGTGGATTAGAACTAATTTCAGGCATACAATCATCTAAAGAATACAATAAAAACTAAATTTGTAGTATATTAGCGTCATACATAAATTTAAAATATAAAACAAAAACATACCTATCAGAAAAGGAGAATCACAATTCTGCATCTTCTTAATATCCGCGAAGCTTGAAAATTTAAATCTAGTTACAAAGCTAGGACAGCTTTTTTGCTCTTTATGTTGCATTTTAGTGAACACTGTCAACTCAAAGCGGTATGGGTGGGCAGTGATCCTATACTTTCCATCATTCACTTTAACTTCTAGGTGATTGACCGCATAAATCAATCCTTCTTCAATAGCGTTGAATTGATGACTTAATCGAATCGGAACAGTGGCTTGAATTGTCGTACCCTTTTAGAAGCATCAACAAAACAAAGTAATCAGAATCTTTTCATGCGTTAATTATGTATTTGTTATAATTTTTTTTGCATTTGATTAAGATTTGAACATCACTGCCATGGCATTTTTTATAAGGTTAAAAAAACTTTCTATTCCCTACCAATGCCAAAAAAGCCTATAATATTTTTATTAAACTTAGAAAGGTACGTGAGTTGAAACTGGAATGCTTGGTATCAACTAAGGGCTTACTTTTTGCAGGTTGCATGTTTTCTTAATTTCCGTTTGCTCTTGCTAATCAGTTTATAGGTTTGTAATTTTCAAAATTTCATAAAAAATAATATCAAATATAAAAAAATAAGTTTTCAAAAAAAGCATTTCAAGTTTGAATGAAAATATGACACAAACATATTTCAAAAAGGATGAATATTAAAAAACCTACCTTCGAAGTTTAAAACAGAAGATAATTGATAACTGTCAGAACATGAAAATGAATATGTAAGCTATATTAACATGTTCATTTGACAACACTGTATTTAAAAATAATTATCTGAACCATGTCATTGTGAATTTAAATTCATGCTATATTAGTTATATTAACAACACTAATGTATATGATATGTTGTATACTTCATATATAAAATTTATATTGAAAATTAAATATTAATATAAGAACCCAATAATGCTCAATTCGTTTAAAGTTTAAACCTAGAGAATATATTGGTTTTAACCAATGTATTCTCGTTTGGTATATTTACCAACATAATGTCTATTATTATTATTTTGTATCATTAATACAAAAGTATGGATTAGAAAAAAGTGTGTAACCTTTTCATCCATGAAAATCATTTCAATGGATTTGATGGCTCGATTTTTCTCCCCAAAAAGGGCATTCCATTTCCGAGTGACTCTCACCAGGAAAGCAGAATTGCTTGGTAAGTTCTTCACAACGTCTCCCAGATACACCTTCTTAGGTGGCATTGTTCCTATAAATGAAGTACATGAGAAAGATAATTAAAAAGTAGAATTTGATCATGAAGTGGTTGAGAAACAATCTGTTTTCATTACATCACATGAGTTCCTTTAATTTGTGTATTATATTCATCATAGAAATCCAAAACAATGTCAAATACTACTCTATAGCATGGGATGGTGAGTGAACTGCATTTTTTGAAGTAGTAGTTCTATCTAATGAAAAGCTTAAAAGGAATTTTTCAAATGTTCTTATTCAAACTTTAAAAATAAACAACCAAAGCTCAAAAGTTCTTATTCTGGGAAGTGAAAAGCATAGTTAAGAATGATAAACTTCAGCTGAATCTAATAGATGCTAAAGCAGATTAAAAGCATTAAAAATTAACAACCCAAGCTCAAAACAATCTGTTTTCATTACATCACATGAGTTCCTTTAATTTGTGTATTATATTCATCATAGAAATCCAAAACAATGTCAAATACTACTCTCTAGCATGGGATGGTGAGTGAACTGCATTTTTTGAAGTAGTAGTTCTATCTAATGAAAAGCTTAAATGGAAATTTTCAAATGTTCTTATTCAAACATTAAAAATAAACAGCCCAAGCTCAAAAGTTCTTATTCTGGGAAGTGAAAAGCATAGTTAAAAATGATAAACTTCAGCTGAATCTAATAGATGCTAAAGCAGATTAAAAGCATTAAAAATTAACAACCCAAGCTCAAAACAATCTGTTTTCATTACATCACATGAGTTCCTTTAATTTGTGTATTATATTCATCATAGAAATCCAAAACAATGTCAAATACTACTCTCGAGCATGGGATGGTGAGTGAACTGCATTTTTTGAAGTAGTAGTTCTATCTCATGAAAAGCTTAAAAGGAATTTTTCAAATGTTCTTGCTCAAACTTTAAAACTAAACAGCCCAAGCTCAAAAGTTCTTATTCTGGGAAGTGAAATGCATATTTAAAAATGATAAACTTCAGCTCAATCTAATAGATGCTAAAGCAGATTAAAAGCATTAAAAATTAAAAACCCAAGTTCAAAACAATCTGTTTTCATTACATCACATGAGTTCCTTTAATTTGTGTATTATATTCATCATAGAAATCCAAAACAATGTCAAATACTACTCTCTAGCATGGGATGGTGAGTGAACTGCATTTTTTGAAGTAGTAGTTCTATCTAATGAAAAGCTTAAAAGGAATTTTTCAAATGTTCTTCTTCAAACATTAAAAATAAACAGCCCAAGCTCAAAAGTTCTTATTCTGGGAAGTGAACTGCATAGTTAAAAATGATAAACTTCAACTCAATCTAATAGATACTAAAGCAGATTAAAAGCATTAAAAATTAAAAACCCAAGCTCAAAACAATCTGTTTTCATTACATCACATGAGTTCCTTTAATTTGTGTATTATATTCATCATAGAAATCCAAAACAATGTCAAATACTACTCTCGAGCATGGGATGGTGAGTGAACTGCATTTTTTGAAGTAGTAGTTCTATCTAATGAAAAGCTTAAAAGGAATTTTTCAAATGTTCTTGTTCAAAATTTAAAACTAAACAGCCCAAGCTCAAAAGTTCTTATTCTGGGAAGTGAAATGCATAGTTAAAAATGATAAACTTCAGCTCAATCTAATAGATGCTAAAGCAGATGAAAAGCATTAAAAATTAAAAACCCAAGTTCAAAACAATCTGTTTTCATTACATCACATGAGTTCCTTTAATTTGTGTATTATATTCATCATAGAAATCCAAAACAATGTCAAATACTACTCTCTAGCATGGGATGGTGAGTGAACTGCATTTTTTGAAGTAGTAGTTCTATCTAATGAAAAACTTAAAAGGAAATTTTCAATTGTTCTTATTCAAACATTAAAAATAAACAGCCCAAGCTCAAAAGTTCTTATTCTGGGAAGTGAAAAGCATAGTTAAAAATGATAAACTTCAGCTGAATCTAATAGATGCTAAAGCAGATTAAAAGCATTAAAAATTAACAACCCAAGCTCAAAACAATCTGTTTTCATTACATCACATGAGTTCCTTTAATTTGTGTATTATATTCATCATAGAAATCCAAAACAATGTCAAATACTACTCTCGAGCATGGGATGGTGAGTGAACTGCATTTTTTGAAGTAGTAGTTCTATCTCATGAAAAGCTTAAAAGGAATTTTTCAAATGTTCTTGTTCAAACTTTAAAACTAAACAGCCCAAGCTCAAAAGTTCTTATTCTGGGAAGTGAAATGCATATTTAAAAATGATAAACTTCAGCTCAATCTAATAGATGCTAAAGCAGATTAAAAGCATTAAAAATTAAAAACCCAAGTTCAAAACAATCTGTTTTCATTACATCACATGAGTTCCTTTAATTTGTGTATTATATTCATCATAAAAATCCAAAACAATGTCAAATACTACTCTCTAGCATGGGATGGTGAGTGAACTGCATTTTTTGAAGTAGTAGTTCTATCTAATGAAAAGCTTAAAAGGAATTTTTCAAATGTTCTTCTTCAAACATTAAAAATAAACAGCCCAAGCTCAAAAGTTCTTATTCTGGGAAGTGAACTGCATAGTTAAAAATGATAAACTTCAACTCAATCTAATAGATACCAAAGCAGACTCAAAACATTAAAAATTAAAAACCCAAGCTCAAAACAATCTGTTTTCATTACATCACATGAGTTCCTTTAATTTGTGTATTATATTCATCATAGAAATCCAAAACAATGTCAAATACTACTCTCGAGCATGGGATGGTGATTGAACTGCATTTTTTGAAGTAGTAGTTCTATCTAATGAAAAGCTTAAAAGGAATTTTTCAAATGTTCTTGTTCCAAATTTAAAACTAAACAGCCCAAGCTCAAAAGTTCTTATTCTGGGAAGTGAAATGCATAGTTAAAAATGATAAACTTCAGCTCAATCTAATAGATGCTAAAGCAGATGAAAAGCATTAAAAATTAAAAACCCAAGTTCAAAACAATCTGTTTTCATTACATCACATGAGTTCCTTTAATTTGTGTATTATATTCATCATAGAAATCCAAAACAATGTCAAATACTACTCTCTAGCATGGGATGGTGAGTGAACTGCATTTTTTGAAGTAGTAGTTCTATCTAATGAAAAGCTTAAAAGGAATTGTTCAAATGTTCTTATTCAAACTTTAAAAATAAACAGCCCAAGCTCAAAAGTTCTTATTCTGGGAAGTGAACTGCATAGTTAAAAATGATAAACTTCAACTCAATCTAATAGATACTAAAGCAGATTAAAAACATTAAAAATTAAAAACCCAAGCTCAAAACAATCTGTTTTCATTACATCACATGAGTTCCTTTAATTTGTGTATTATATTCATCATAGAAATCCAAAACAATGTCAAATACTACTCTCTAGCATGGTATGGTGAGTGAACTGCATTTTTTGAAGTAGTAGTTCTATCTAATGAAAAGCTTAAAAGGAATTCTTCAAATGTTCTTATTCAAACTTTAAAAATAAACAGCCCAAGCTCAAAAGTTCTTATTCTGGGAAGTGAAATGCATAGTTAAAAATGATAAACTTCAGCTCAATCTAATAGATGCTAAAGCAGACTCAAAACATTAAAAATTAAAAACCCAAGCTCAAAACAATCTGTTTTCATTACATCACATGAGTTCCTTTAATTTGTGTATTATATTCATTATAGAAATCCAAAACAATGTCAAATACTACTCTCTAGCATGGTATGGTGAGTGAACTGCATTTTTTGAAGTAGTAGTTCTATCTAATGAAAAGCTTAAAAGGAATTCTTCAAATGTTCTTGTTCAAAATTTAAAAATAAACAGCCCAAGCTCAAAAGTTCTTATTCTGGGAATTGAAATGCATATTTAAAAATGATAAACTTCAGCTCAATCTAATAGATGCTAAAGCAGATTAAAAGCATTAAAAATTAAAAACCAAGTTCAAAACAATCTGTTTTCATTACATCACATGAGTTCCTTTAATTTGTGTATTATATTCATCATAGAAATCCAAAACAATGTCAAATACTACTCTCTAGCATGGGATGGTGAGTGAACTGCATTTTTTGAAGTAGTAGTTCTATCTAATGAAAAGCTTAAAAGGAATTCTTCAAATGTTCTTATTCAAACTTTAAAAATAAACAGCCCAAGCTCAAAAGTTCTTATTCTGGGAAGTGAACTGCATAGTTAAAAATGATAAACTTCAACTCAATCTAATAGATACCAAAGCAGACTCAAAACATTAAAAATTAAAAACCCAAGCTCAAAACAATCTGTTTTCATTACATCACATGAGTTCCTTTAATTTGTGTATTATATTCATCATAGAAATCCAAAACAATGTCAAATACTACTCTCTAGCATGGGATGGTGAGTGAACTGCATTTTTTGAAGTAGAAGTTCTATCTAATGAAAAGCTTAAAAGGAATTCTTCAAATGTTCTTATTCAAACTTTAAAAATAAACAGCCCAAGCTCAAAAGTTCTTATTCTGGGAAGTGAACTGCATAGTTAAAAATGATAAACTTCAACTCAATCTAATAGATACCAAAGCAGATTAAAAACATTAAAAATTAAAAACCCAAGCTCAAAACAATCTGTTTTCATTACATCACATGAGTTCCTTTAATTTGTGTATTATATTCATCATAAAAATCCAAAACAATGTCAAATACTACTCTCTAGCATGGGATGGTGAGTGAACTGCATTTTTTGAAGTAGTAGTTCTATCTAATAAAAAGCTTAAAAGGAATTGTTCAAATGTTCTTATTCAAACTTTAAAAATAAACAGCCCAAGCTCAAAAGTTCTTATTCTGGGAAGTGAACTGCATAGTTAAAAATGATAAACTTCAACTCAATCTAATAGATACTAAAGCAGATTAAAAACATTAAAAATTAAAAACCCAAGCTCAAAACAATCTGTTTTCATTACATCACATGAGTTCCTTTAATTTGTGTATTATATTCATCATAGAAATCCAAAACAATGTCAAATACTACTCTCTAGCATGGTATGGTTAG